GGATGTTAAAAGCTCTTTCCTCAATGGAGAATTGAAATAAGAGATATTTCTACAACAACCTATAGGTTTTGAAAACCTTGATCTTCCTCATTACTATTAAAAATTGGAAAATGATGTATATGGCTTGAAGCAGGCACCCAGAGCCTGGTATGAAACGCTCTCCACATTTCTTGTCAACTCTGGATACACGCGTAGGGTCATTGATCCTACCCGCTTCATACGTTCAAATTATAAGCACTTAATGCTTGTCTAAACTATGTCAACGTCACTATTTTTGGTTCTACGGATCAAGCAATGATCGATGACTTTGCATTTCTCATGACAAGTAAGTTCCAAATGAGCATGAACAGAGAGATTAACTTCTTTCTTGGTATTCAAATCAATAAAGCTCCTCAAGGAATCTTCTTTCATTAAGAAAAGTATACCGCATAGCTTCTAAAGAAATAGTCACTAGATAGCTACTCTTCGGCAAAGGTCCCAATGTCCTTTGGCTACAAAATTTTAGTCGATCCTACTGGGGAGTCAGTAGATCACAAGGTATACCAAGGAATGATAGCTTATCTACTCTACTTGATCGTAAGTAGACTAGATATTGTCTTTGCAACAGGTTTGTATGTCAGATGCCAAGCAAATCCCAAGGTCTCTCATTTAAATGCCATATAGCAAATATTCAGATACCTCAAAGGGAGAAAAGTTGTTGGTCTTTGGTACCCAGCAGGAAAGGACTTCGGTCGTCAAGCTTTCACAGACTCTGATCACGCGAGATGCAAATTAGATAGAAAAATCACTTCCAGAGGATGCTAATTTCTAGGTGGAAGATTAGTTAGGGGGTCCCTAAGGAAACAAAATTGTGTTTCATTCTCCACCGTAGAAGTAGAATATGTTGTAGCAACAAGCTGTTTCTCACAAGTTCTTTGGATGAAAACCCAACTCTTGGATTATGGCTACAGGATGTTAAGAATACAAATATATTGCGATTCAGAAAGTGCTATCGCCATTTCACATAATCCCATCCATCACTCAAAGACGAAGCACAGCAAATTATATTATAACTTCATCAAAGATCATATTCTTAAAGGTACACTACTAGAAAACAGCCCTTTAATGACGCGCAAACAATGACACGCGGTGATTTACGATACGCAAAAGTGTGTGCCCTAAAAAAATGTTATCTCTTCTAAAATTTGAAGGATAGTGGACACGCTTTTATGCGTGCCCTAAAATTAATGTCGAAAAAAAACACGGAGGGCACTTATTTAAAAATGGGTGACGTCTAGAAATGTCACTTTATATTTTTTTAATGAAAGGCGCGTTCTTTTCTTTTGCAGCTGGGGGGAAACCAAAATCCCAAAAGTTTGAAAGGCCGCCATTGTTACCCTCTGCCTTATTTCCATCGTTCTTCTCTCTCTCTCTCTCTCTCTCTCTCTCTCTCTTTCTTTCTCTCTCTATCTCTCTCACTCTTGTTACCCTCTCCCTTATTTCCATCATTCTTCTCTCTCTCTCTCTCTTTCTCTCTCTATCTCTCTCACTCTAATACCCAAAAAAACTAATAACATCACCAATCGTCTTTTTTTCCACAACAAAATCGCAATATAATCCCGTCTTTTGAACAGATCAAACCCATAGGGTTCTCAACAAAAGAGATACAGCTTCATACGAGCCCTAATTTCTCATCTGAATTCGTAGGGCTTTTTCAAGAATCATTCTACCTAGGGCTTTTCAAGAAAATTCAAAATGCTCTCCGATTCTCGATCGGTTCTCCCAGGCCTCTGCAACAATCGACGATCTCACTTCAGGCTTACTTCTTCTCCGGTGAGCATAGGATCACCTCCCCGCGACCATCCTCCTCGTCATAAAATCATCCAGCTAGGGATTTTTGTTCTCGATCTCTTCATGTCCGTCCTCCAAAAATAAGGAAGAAACTAGTTTGATTTCTCCCCTAAAACCTGGACGACCATGCTCCTCGCTTCCATCACTATCCCAACATGTCTTCATTGTTCCTCCCTCGGTCTCTTCCATCAGGTAAGTTGTTGGACCATCTCATCTACTCATTTTTTACTATCTTTATTCTCACTCTCTTTTTTCTTGATTTTTCTTCTCCTTTCTCTGTTCTCCCTTTTATGTTGAATGTTGTTGGCAGTTAGAATCCAGGGGAACAATAGAGGAGAGTCAAATGGTAGTGGTACACCACCACATTTAGGTGTAGGTGTAGGTTAGGGAGGGTTACCAACACCAAAAACCCTCATCTTATCCCAAATCCCTCATGAAATCGACTCAATGTAGTCCACCATGCTCAGAACCACTGAATTCTTGGGTAAAACCACATCATTGAGGTATGTGTTTTACATCTAATTTCACCTATGATATTTCAATTGTTTTTTAGGTATAAATGATCAAATTTAAAGATTTCTCTATTCGGATCTTCTAATTTCTCATTTCTACTGGTAATCTCTTATCCCTTCTTTCATTTTGTGTTGTTCAGATCTTCTAATTTCTCACATTCTAGCCCTATTTAATATCGTTAGTGTTATCCAATTTCAGCTTCAGTTGGTCTGATCTATTTGTTTTGTGTTTAATTAATGGATGTGGTTTACTTAGTTAATTGAATGTTAGTTAAATCGCAATGGAAGGATTAGGTCTCACAGTTGTAGATTGAGATGAGAATTTTTAATGAAAAAAAAAATCAAAACAAAGCCTTAAATCATTAATTTAAGGCTTAAATAAATTTGAGAAAAAGTGGATTTATGTTCGATAAATGTCACATAGACTTCAAATATGTTAATTAACACAGATTTATTTCATCCGATTGACTATTTGATTATTGCTACGCAAACCTGATTATCAAATTCATTTACATATATGATTATAAAAAAATTCATATGATTTTTCCTTCAGCTTCATGGAGTAGAAGTTATGTGTGCTGAGCTTATGCAATTACATGCTGGTATTAAGGAGTTGACTTCTACTCGCCAAAAACTTACTAGTCAAGATCACGGTATGACTCGAGATCTTGCTAGAGCTACTGTTGACCGGGTCTGGAACGAAATCGCAACGCCGTGACGCCAAATCCGAACCGGCCCTCGCGTGTTTGGCTTCCAAGTGGATTAAAATGATTTGGAAGGGTTATTTTGGTAGATTGAAAACAAGCATGTATATTTTATAAAGGGTAAAATGGTAACTATCATTCCTTGAAGAGATGGAATGAAAAAAATAAGGGTCTCATATGGTATGGAATGACATTCCTTCGTTAATGCTTTTTTCCTTTCCAGTTTATCAACCAAGCAACATTTTTTACTTGTAACTTTATCAAAATGTTATTTTAAATCATAGCCTTTATTAAAGTGTTGGTTGACTTTTTATTGCTATCTTTACTTCTAACTTTATCTTTAGCCTTTAATATAGTAGTGGGTTGATTTAATATGTGTTTTATACAGAAGCGGGATAATTTGGGATAAAGGGTTATGTCTTTAGCTTTTGATGTTATATCTCGACTTCTAGAAATAGCCCCAGTGAGTTTTCATTTAGTGAATCAGCCATTTTATATTTGTTTTCATTCTATTCCTTCTTATAAATGAATTATAATCATCTGGAAACAGGGATGGAGACTTGTTTCACCACTTTTCATCTTTGCTGGAGTCTGCAATTTTTCCAGCAATAGTTATGAATGAAAAGGTTTGATAGTTATTGCTTTATTATTGTTGTTTGTTATTATTATAAGTATTATGATGGTTATTAATTGAAAATGCATTTGCATCAAAATCCTAACTGCAAGTAAGTAATGTTTACATTGAAATAATTTCTTCTTTTGGAGTAGGATATTATGGAGTGGGAGGAAGATTTAGATGAGTACATAAGAAAAAATCTCCCTTCTGAACTTGTATGCACTTGTTCAAATTGTTTATTGGTTATAAGAATTCAACCAACGGAAACTAATTGTGAGCTATTCAAATTGTTTATTGGTTATACAAATTCAACCAACAGTAACTAATTGTGAGCCTATGAAGTATTCTGATGGTCAACAACATGTAAATGAAGAAGAGGTTGATGGTGATGCATTTGAAGATTCTGTTTTGCAAAAACTTCAAAAGGTTTGACTAATTGACTTTCACTTCAATGTATCTTTAATTCTTGATTTTCCTTTTTGACAGAATAACTTATTCCTTTTTTTTGCAGGGTACTGAGAGACAAAAATGAGTTTTTACAGAATATCTAGAATTAAAATTTCAATATTGCTACTAGAATATGAGTATATTGATTATGTTATGACAGAAAGATTGGTGACAAAATATCTAGAATTTAAATTCCAACATAACACATGAAAGGAGAACAAGAAGGATGTTTCTATAAAAGAACTGTTGTCAATTTCAATACGTAAGAATATCGTGAATATGGGCAGCTACTTTTTTATTTTTATTTTTTAAATTTTGTTATAGATAAATGAATGGGAAATGGATTGTGGATGACAATTCGGAATATAGTGGCCATACAAGGGTAACCATTTTGAAATGTTATAAGTTTTTTTTAATATTTATATTATTATTATTATTATTACTTTTAAATATGTGCTATAATGTTTGAATTAACTTTTTTCTTTCTTTGTTTTCATTTTTGGTTGAATTGTTTATATTCTGCAGCATATGGGTGATTTTAATTATCCAAGATTAGCTTACTTTATTGCTGCAATATCTGGTTCAAACAAAGTACAATGCCAACAAGTGCTTGAAGAGCTAGATGTAAGTCACATTTAATGTTCCATAAAGGTTTTCTACTTCTTTTTGCCCAAAAAAGTTTCTCAAATACTTGGTTCTCATTTTTCCATTATATTCAATCTAGGTTTACAAACAATTGAGACTTAGTCTTGAGTTATTAAAGAAAGAAATGGAGATACAAAGGATTCTGATAGATTCAACAATGCCTGGGGTTTATGATAGATTCAACAAGGGTCTATCAGATTCAAGTAAGTCCTGGTAGCAATTTTAAGTACTTGCATTCTTATTATATTATAACCCTCACATTTTCCTAAATTACCCCTTCCTATACATTGTTTTTTTTTTCAATATATTTTGTGCATCAGGTAAAGTTGATGGAAGAAAGGAATATGAAGCCACTTGATTTAAATCTTGCAGCATTATCAGCAAGATGCAGTAGAGACTTGGAGTTGAATTTGGCTAAGTCATTATTGAGTGAGATGGGTCAATGTACAACTGCTTATCCATATAATCAGCTGTTTAGAGCATTAGTCTTAAAGAATTATGAAAGCCAAGGTGCAACTTTACTTAGTTGGAATTTGATGTACATAGTAGATTAGATCCAATTGGAATGATTATTTGTATGACATTAACTTTTGTGCAATGTATTGTAATTTTTGAATATGGTATTTTATTTTCTATTATGAGACATGATATGCAAATTTAATTTGAAATTCAGTAAATCTATAAATAATTTTAAAAAAAAAAAAATTTACGATACGCAAAAATGTGTGTCGTTTTCATTTATGACATGGCCTTTCTTGACAGGGGCTTCCTTGATACACAATGCGTGTCATAAACACGCGCGTCGTAAGGTTACGACACACAAATGCGTGTCGTCTTCCTTTATGACAGGGCCTTTCTTGATACGCATTCTGTGTCGTAAACGCGCGTCGTAATTGCGCGTCGTAAATGAGCGTCGTAAATGCGCATCGTCTCTCTTTATGACAGGGCCTTCCTTGACGCGCATTTGCGCGTCGTCTAAGCCCTTTACGACGCGCAATGAGCATCGTAAAAGGCTGTTTTTCTAGTAGTGGTAACATTAAACTTTTTTTGTTTCAACTCATGAGCAAATAGCCTATTTTTTTTTCACCAAAGCTCTTGATGCAACAAAACTAAGGTGTTGTTTGTTTTTTCGAAACAAAAATTCATGAAGTCTGCGGACCACCTCTGCAATCCTCTGTAGCAGAAGATGTGGAACAAACGGATGCAGCTAATAATAACAAGCATGTTTGTTTTTTTAACATCTGTAGACTGCTGCAGTAAACTGAAATTTAAATAAACTAATTTTATAAACTGAAAATAGTTATCAACACCGAAATTTAATAGTTCTAGTCTTAAAACATTGAAATAATAATAAAAGGAGCATGTAAAAAAACAAAAATATAAAACTTAAAAAAAAACAAAAAAAAAACAAAAACTTAAAAATATGTAAAAGAAGCTAATAGTTTTATTCTAGAAAAGAAAACTAATTTTAAAAAACATTAAAAAAGAAAATAAAAAAAATTAAGAAAGTATTGCAAACGTTGTCTACAAAGTTCGTAAAAAAATACACACGTTAAAAAAGATGCTACTGAAATTGAAAATATTATTAGTAAAACGGTAAAAAAAATCAAGTTAAAAAAAATCGTGAAAATTATAAAAATAAATTGTATCACATCCGTAAATAAAAATTTAAGAAAATCAAAGTTTTAAAAAAAATATTAAAAAGTTATACAAAAATTCTTAAAAAACACTTAGAAAAAATGAAAGTTGAAGAGGTTAGAAGAGGCAAGTCAAGTGTTGCGCCACGCAGCATACGCGCAGAGGTTTCGTAGTCTGAAGTCTTCCAAAAAACAAACTGTTGCGAGTGGGAAAGTGTTGCGTGTGCTGCGTCGTGCAGCAATAAGTGGTTTGAAGAGGTTTTTATAAAATAAAAAAAAATTAAAAAAAAATTAAAAAAAAAAAAAAAACAAACAAACACAACCTAAATGGATTTTTGGGAATGTTAGGAATGATGAATCATGACCCTCAGTTTTTCTTAAAAGGATGAATAGCGAAGACCTCATAGTCTTCACATCTAACAAGTAGATATGCTTAACTCATCTTACACTCACATATACTTTGAAGCACATTTATTTGTCTATGTTTTTAAAATTCCATTCCTCTTCAGTCTAACTATTGAGCACGAATATCATCAATGACTCCTCGACATTTCTACATACTGAAGTCTATTTATGAGGTATGTACTCTACGTGTCTTTTTATTGTTTTTATCTATGACCTTGTGATTTAATTATTCTATAGTATTCTTAATACCGAAGCATTACCTCTTGCATCATACCACAGTTCCTTCCTCAAGGAACATTGAAGTCTCATTTTCTGTCTGGCAATAAACAAAGTTTTTTTGTGTGCTATTTAATGAATTTGGAATATTTAATTTTTATAAAGGAATGTTTTTATTCCATTCATTAAATATGCTTTTAACACTTAAACAATATCTTTTAAAAACAGTTTGTTTCCTCTTAAAGTAAAATATAAAGAGATTTACTGTTTTCAATAAAAGATTTTCCAAAACCCAAATTGAGGTGACTATTCAAACCTTTATACCACTAAGAGACGGAATTTTCAAAACATTTTATCTACGGCTCTGATAGTTTTACCACACCTCACCCCACGTTTACATCATTCATCATTTAATACATTTAATGGGCTCAGTTAACATTAAACGCGGGTCATTTTCGGATCTAATTCAGTTAAAAACCTTTGGGTTTTTAACAACTGTCAAAAAACCTTTACGACATTGGATAACTTCTCAAATTCGGAGGTTTAAATCCCTCCATTTCTGCCCAAGAAAGCTTTTATACTCTATGAATCTCCGACGAACTCTCTTTCTCTCTTGTTCTTCTTGCCCTGAACTTTTATGGCAAATTCTTCAAAAAAAAATTCAGATCAACAATGGTGAAATCAGGCGTTTCAAAAAAAAACTAGCAAAATCAGCAGGTTCTACAACTACTGTGAAAACCCCCGGACTGATGATTGCTCTGAGCAACTATCGGGGAGTCTTTCGAGATCATGACTTCTATGATGAGCCATTCAATATCATGAACAGATACATGGAGAAACACTTGCTCTTCAACACATTCAACTCAATGGTTGACATTATTCTCCTTTTTCTATTTAAGAGTGTCTTCTCAGCATACTGACGAGGAGATGACCCTGAAATCATCAATTTCATTCTCGCCAACGACACGATGGCGACACTCACCAAGGCCAAATTCTAGGATTCTATCAATCTTAGGGTACCCTCAAACACCGTCTTCAAGAGTCCCTCAAATGAATAAGTGTTTAAAGCTCTGTATCAGATGGGTTATCAGTCCAAACTGAAAGGTATTGCCAACTTCAAAAAGAGAAAACTTCTGGCAGTGTGGAAACTTGTGTGTCACTATTTTATCAAGTGCCTTTCTGGCAGAACCAGCGGCATTGATGTCATGGGAAAACAATTTTTGTATCTTCTTTTAGGTATCTTCACCGCCGAACTGATGGATTTTGGGTCAATCTTATGGGACGACTTTCTGACCAATGTTGGAAGGGTTGTACCAAGACCAGGCCTCATCAGTCACTTATTCCCGTTTTTGGTTTCTCTGCATCAAAGGCCTTCATGCTGCAGCCAACGTCAGTCTAGGCAAAGACATCAACTACTTCGTCTTCCTTGAGGTCAAAAGGTACACTTTTCCCAAAGATCAATCTATCTTCAGTCCAATTAGACAACTCCCTATGCATATTTTTATAGAGGTCTGACTTATCACCCAGTTGGTCTCTGACCACATGGAGGCTACAAACGATATACAGTTATATCGTTCTACCCCGCCTTCCCCCCTCCTAAAATAGTCGACCCTATCACTACACTGAAGACAAAAATGACTAAACATATTGCAAAAAAGAAAGGATCAAAATCCATTGAGAAAAAAAAACAAAAAGAAATAGGTTTGCGGTTACCAAACAATTAGCAGAGGTTCATCCGACAAGGGAACCTCGTCAAACTACGGACCCATTGAAATACCAATAAATTGAAGAATCTCAGCCAATGCTCTGTAAGAGAAAAGATTCTACTACCTCCCCCAAATGACCAAAAGCGTCATAAGGCCCATACCGAAGACTCTCCAAATCTCCAGTAGGCATTGGACTTAATGCTAAGTCACCCAAGAAAATCCCATCCATCCACTCCGATTCATCAATTGAAATGGTTTTAGAACACTCTGTTGGAGACAGAACCTAATCAGGATTCCAAGTGGATCCTGATGTCGATCAAACTCCCAAGGTCTTCGAGAGAAAACAATTGTACTTATTTACCCTACAGAAGTTGAACTCCTTTTTTTATTGACTTTCACATATACAACGAACATTAACTGTATCGCAAAGTCCTTTTTCAATGGCCCTAGCCAAAACAGATATGACGCTAGACTTGGTTACTGTCACACCCCCGAACCGGGACGGCAGAAACGTCCTGGGATGGGTGATTTCATTTTGTAATATCATAACAAGTGTATATAAATGAAACATATCCACCATCATCCTCGTATATTCAACATAACAACATGCATGGTTTACAACATCGTGTTTTTTGGTAAAAATTACATCCAAAAATAAAAAATGTATGATGAAATCAAAATACAACATTCATTCAAATCCATAGCTGTAAAGAACCGACTCACTGTGTTCCTGAGAATACAAGTCATTTGAAAAATGTCAACATATAAAATGTTTGTGAGTTCATAAGCATTTTTATATGAAAACTTTGTAATAGTTAAAACCCCAAAAAATCCAATATTTTCTGTAAAAGTAGTTTGTGAGTCTTATGTTAAAGCATGTATAGTTGCAGGTGTGTTCTTTGTTTTTCCTTGTTTGGAACAATATAAAGGGTGTTTGCAGAAAATCCTGTTTTTTATGTTTTATGAAAAATTGTGGCCTTAAACCCTAAGACCGGAGTGATGTGACTAGTTAAAAAATTGATGACACAATGTTTGTACTTTGTAACAATGACTGGTGTGTATAGTAAACATAAATCTTATAATAGTATTGTTATTCTCTATGTGAGTCGTTATAATCCTACTAATATGACGAAATGTCTGTCTTGACGTTCTTCAGGAGTCGGTTTCTGATTAGATATTGGTCACCCTATACTGGCATGTCTAGCTGTAGTGAGCAGCTCAAGTGTGGTTGTCAACCCCGTATAGATCTATACACAAACTCCCGCTCTCCCTCCAGGAGGCTTTGGTTATAACAACAGGACTTACGGTGTACACTAAGTGGCTACGGGTGAAGGAGTGTCTCACAAGAGCTTTAACGAAATTTATGAAGATACTGAATTTCATTACTTGACGTT